ATAAGGTTTTTTGGCAGACAGTGACAAATTCCTGACATCCTACACTGAATATTTAATGAAATGCTATTATTTTAATAATAATATATTGCTCACTAGGACCCAGGGCCATTTCTGGCACTTGTAAGTAGTAGCTCATTTATTCATCATAATACTTTGACTAGGAGCCACTGCTGTTTGCAGTTTACAGACAAGGAGACTGGTAGAAAATTTAGGTGACTCTCACCATATGGCTAGTAAGAGTCCAAGCTGGGACGTCAGCCCATGCATCTGGCTTAACTACCTTATTCTCTTCTGCTTTCCACGTAAGTTACTTTGGTTTGTTTTGGTGTTGCAATGACAAAATACCGGAGGCAGAACAATTTGCAAAGAGTTTATTTAGTTCACAGTTCTGAAAATTCAAGAGCATGGTGCCAGGATCTGCTTTAGGGAGGGCTTCTGGTGGGGTAGCAGATAGCTGTAGAAGAGCATGCGGGAGAGAGGCAGACAGAGATAGCTGTAGAAGAGCATGCGGGAGAGAGGCAGACAGAAAGACAGAGAGAGACAGACTTTCTTTATAATAGCTCATCATGGTATCGAATCCAGCCCTGCACAAATACAAGAATTAGAAGGAAGCAGCACTGATTCCTTCTCTCTTAACTTTTCTTCCTGTTGCTGTGATGTAGTCCTCTGAGAAAAGTAATGGAAGTGACAAGAGGGTTAGTTACGGCTCACAGCACAAGGGTAAAGCCCACCATGACAGGGTAGTCAAGGTGGCAAGAGCTTGAAATAACCAGTCATGTGACAAAAAGCAGAGAGGGGCGAATGAATGCATGCTAGTTAGTGCTCAGCTCATTTTCTCCATTTTACACAGTGAGCTCCAGGACAGCCAGGGCTATCCAGAGAAACCCTGTTTCAAACAACACCTGTGCATGTGCATGTGCGTTTGTGTGTGTGATGTGTTTGGGCTCAGAATTCATCATGGTAAACATATTTACATATTTCTGTTCATTTAGCTATAAAGCAAACTGTGTGGGAAGTCATGACTTGTGAATGGTTTTCTTGAGACGCCATTGCTCTTTGTTCCATTTTACCTTAAAAAGGCATCCCTCTGCCTCTGTTACCAGCTTCCTTCTCTAGACATTTAACATTTAGTATAAGGTAAGTTAGAAGAGGGCTCTGCTATTACCTTTAAGACAGGTTTAAAATTAAAGCATTTCAGACAATCTTTCATCAGTTTGGCCAAAGGTAAAAAACAATGAAGACATAGGAGAAAAATGATCATCTGTAATTCTTTTATTTTTACTTTATTGTGGTACTGGGGGTGAACTCAGGGCTTGCCTTCGGTAGGCAAGCATTTCATCAGTGAGCCGTGTTCCAGCCCTAAAGATGACAGCTATTTTGTCACAATAATCAAAAGTGTGTCTGTCTGTTTGTTTGTTTGTTCTGAGTTAGGGTTTCTCTGTGTAACAGCCCTGGCTGTCCTGGAACTCTGTAACAGACTGGCCTTGAGCTCGCAGCGATCCACCTGCATCTGCTTCCCTAGTGCTGGGAATAAACGCGTGTGGCACCACCATCTGGCCCAAAAGTGTATTTTACAAATAAAGAATATGTTTTCTCTGCTTTAAAAAGGCTATTGTCTATGGCCCTAGTCAGTGTAGGGGCCACTAGTCACTACTGAGTCTTCAAAGTTGGCTACTCCAACTTGGGAGGTGGTGGAAGATTAAAATGTATCAGATTTAAATACTTGTTATGAGAAACATCTTTAAAATATTCCATGAACACCTTTTGAATATCAATTACCTGTTGAAATGATATTTTATATGCATTTTAAAAAGTAAATTTTATATTAAAATTCATTTAAGTAAAAAAAAAAGTTTATCTTTACAAATGTGCAAATGTGGCTGTGGGACATTTAAGACCATGTGTGTGACTGTATGTGTCTCTTAGCCCTGATTGTGGGACATTTAAGGGCGTGTGTGTGATTATGCATGTCTCTGGACCCTGACTGTGGGACGTTTAAGGCTGTGTGTGTGACTGTATGTGTCTCTGGGCCCTGTTCTGAGGCACCGACATTTCACATGTGAATTATTGCTTGAGAGGTTTTCGTCAAGAGTTTTAAAAGAGAAAACAGTTATAACAGTTAAAACAGTCATTTACCCAGAAGCCTCTCTGACCAAAAGGAGTCAGTCAAGTAACAATTATTAGAATAAGATAGAAAAAGGGCAGGGAGTTGAGAAAATAGGTAATACAAGTAAATTCAGGGACAGGATGCCAGTTTTAGTACAAAAAGCTGTCAAGTGACTGCCAGTTAAATGTTGGAGCCTCATGTATGACATTTCTTAAGCACTAGTATTTTTTCAGAATTATATTCATTTAATTCCCTGTCAGTGCTATGCCATTAAAGCTAAGGATAGCCCACCCGTGTCTCTCTCAGTGCTATGCCATTAAAGCTAAGGATAGCCCACCCGTGTCTCTCTCAGTGCTATGCCATTAAAGCTAAGGATAGCCCACCCGTGTCTCTCTCAGTGTTATGCCATTAAAGCTAAGGATAGCCCACCCGTGTCTCTCTCAGTGCTATGCCATTAAAGCTAAGGATAGCCCACCCGTGTCTCTCTCAGTGCTTTCCCGTGTACTCATCACTGGTATGGTTATGTAATTATTATCAACATGATAATGCTTGCTTTGTGTGAATTCTACACAAAGGCCTCTCAAATGACAAGGAACACACACCAGAATGGAGGTGATCTCAGCTCTAGTGATGATCTTTCAGCAGTATTACCATGGCAACTAGAATGGTCACATCTGTCCCACCTGCCAGGCAATTATCAGTATTGGGAGTTCACATTCCCCGTTGTTGAAGTTGCATTACTACCGGTTATTTTCTGAGAGACCCTACAGTTCATCTGTGCGTTTTGCTTTATTCCTATAGATCTTTGTCACTTGTGATTCTTCCCTCTGCCATGTTGTATCAAAAATGGCTTTAGCATTTGCCAATGGAAGAAGGTAAAGGAGATGGTGACATTGAGCCTGAGAGCTTTCTGTATGTATTCAGAGGGATGGTAGGTACTGGGGGTTGGGCAGGTGGGTCAGTGGGTAAGAGCCCTTGCTGTACAGGTGTGGGGACCTGAGTTCAAATCCTAAGCACCAATGTAAAAAGCTGAGTGTGGACCGTGTGTTCCTTTAACCCTAGTGCTGTGGGGGAGAAACCAGAAGGATTACTGGAGCTTACTGGATTCCAGAATAGCTCTAAGTTCAGTGGGAAATCCTGTCATAAAATAATAAGAAGAAGAATAGGAAGGGACATGTGGCATCCTCCTTCATCCTCTGAGCATGCGTGGGAAAGTAAAACGTGTATACAAACCACATGCATACTCACATAAATATACACGCACACATATCAGGGAGGGAGGGAGAGAGAGAGAACGCTCTTTAAGTTTTGTTTTTGATGGCTTTGGCTCGTTGAGAATGATATTAAAGTACAGACTATAGAGATGAATGCTTGGTGTTTAACAGGGGCACCATGGGACTCAAGGAATGGGTGGGGATCTGAGTGGAGAACAGAGTTCCCTGCTGGGTGTCAAGGACCCCAGCATCCCATAGAGACATCTAGACAGTGAATTCCGAGTATCATCTTGGGAGCCACAGTCTATGTTTCTGCCTGTCTTCAGAAAGATACATGAGTGTGGACAGTGGGGCCAGAGGCCCTTCTCTGACCTACACACCTCAAATCCAGTATACTCCGAGATCTGTAGGCAACCCCAAGGAAGTAGAGCAACCGACTGAGGAGTGAGATCAAATTTATCACCAGCTGAATGCTTGTGTGTCTGGAGTAGAATATAATGATATAAAGTAAGTTTTAATCTTTTCCTTAATGACTTCATGGGTGGTGCCAGCCTTGGCGGTGCTTGATTGGGCCATGACTTATATGTAGTAAAAGTGGACTAAAATTGTTCACAGAAGCTAATCTAGATGTGACTTCTACATTCATCGTGTCTAGATTCTTCCATTTTAGATGAGGAAATTAAAATTTAAGGCCAAACGCCAGTATATTGTCAATCTCCCCAGTCCCCTGCCCCATGTACTTTCCTTTCTGTGTTGATACGTGGTTGGAAAGGGTCTAAGGCATAGTTAATTGGCAAAGCATTCTCCTAGTGTGCACAAAGCCCAGGGGTTTGCATTCCACCACTACACCAAAAATTAAAGAAGTAAAAAAATTATCATGTCATGCTGGCCATGAGCAGCCCTGTGAGTGTAAGAGATCATAGTTTTAAAGTGAAGGTGACACAAACTGTACACAAATCAGGCCGTGAGAGTCGGGGAAAACGGCTTTTATCTCATCGGTTTTTCGGTTATTTCTCTGTGTGGGAATTGGGAGAAAATAGCCCAAGCTATTCTTAAAGTGAAAGACATTGCAGTTTCTGAGAGTCAAATGCCTTACCTAAGACATTTTGAATATAAATATATGTACGCGTGTGTTAGATGTACAGGTACAAGTCTGCCAGTTATCAAACGCTGGGTTTAAACTGCTTTAAACTCTCAGACAGGGAGAGAGAAAGAGAAAGAAGGGAGAGGGAGAGGAGAGAGAGAGGAGGGGAGAGAGGAGAGAGAGAGAGAGAGAGAGAGAGAGAGAGAGAGAGAGAGAGAGAGAGAGTGTTAGTTTTAGTAAATAACTAAGTCACTTTCCTGTGGACTCTATACTTCTAGTCTAACATTCCGGATTACCTACTCTGCTCTAACCTGTGTCTCGGTCCTACTTTCTCTCCCTTCCACTTTGTAGGCACAAGATGAACTAGAATTTGGCTTCTTGTTACTCTCAAGACCTCTGTGTGAGAGAACAGAGAAGAACATAAGAGCTCTTGCAGAGGAGTCCTGTGGCAGCCCTTGAGCAGCTTGGTGGCCAGAAGACCTGCCTAGCCTGCCAGCTCTGCACTCGCCCCCGTGGCAGTGAGCTCACACCAACTCTCAATGTCCACATGGCAGAAGCCCATCCTGAAGGTGCCTCCTCACTGAGAGATGTTGTCCCTGGAAGTCAGCCGTCTGTTCAGATGTTCCGATACACTTCTCTCTGCCAGCAGGGCCCGTGGCGGATGAGGGCGAGCAGCAGTATCACTAGGATACCAGACACCAGGCAGAAGGTAATGGCAAGGATGACCCTCAGGACTGCAAAGACAAGTACACCGATGGGAAATTAGTATGTTAGGAACAGGCGAGGATCACACCAACACCCCCGCTCAATGAAAGCCCTAAAAAGCAGATGAAAATCGCATGTCATTGTTGACTTTTTGCCTTAATTTAAAACTTAGAAAGGTATTTTATTTTGTGTCAGCAATATAGTTTTCACAAAACTTTTGCTTTTGTCCTTCTGCTTTTTTGCTGTGTGAGACAGAGGGACCTTGTCCTTGCTATGTAGCCGAGGATGAGCTAGCTAGCTTGCACTCTTGATCCTCCTGCCTCAACCTCCCAAGTACTGGAATTACAAGTGAGTGCCACCATGTCTAGCTTTCCTGCCTCGATGGTAAATTCTCGAGGCATGTCTGAAGCAGCCTTGGAATCAGTAGGGAGTGTTGGATAGAACACAGAACTCAGAGTCAGGAGGGGACTTAAGTTCTAATTTCAGCATGACCTTTGACATTTGGCCTCAGCTCTCCACTGCAGAGGGAAGGTAACTGAGTAGAAGTGTCGAAGGTTTTCTCATAATGTAACTTCTCTCCTTCCTCTTTTCCTTCCTTCTCTCCTCCTTCTTCCCTCCCTCCCCCCTCGCCCCCATGGACTGGGACAGGGGGCGGTGGGGGGTGACAGCATACTGGCTTTTGGCTTTAAATTTTAATTTCTTCTAAAATGGAAGAATCTAGACAAGATAAATGTAGAAGTACATCTAGATTATTTTCTGTGAACATTTTTCATCCACTTTTACTATGAGTAAGTCATGGCTCAATCAAGCACCTCCAAGGCTGGCACCATCCATGAAGGCACCATACATTTGCCTGATATCTGGTATCCTAGTGATATGGAAGACCATAGTGATACAGTCTTCTTTCTCATAATGCTAATTTTCTCCTTCATCCCTCTTTTCCTTTCTTCTCTCCTCCTTCTTTCCTTCCTCCCCCCACCCCATGGACTGGGCTCAAACTTCTAATTCTATTGCCTCAGATTCCTCAGTGAATTTCATGTATTTTTCTATGGTTAAATTATCAACTGAATTGGCTCAGAAGCTCAGAGGAAAATTTGAATAACTCACTTCGAGCAATTGACTAAAATAAGTGGAACCATTCCCTCTTTTAAAACTGATTTTTCAAAAAAGCATGTTTTAAGAGAAACTGAGCATAAGTTGAGTTTGGGAGACATTTATTGCATAATCACAGAGTAGTGTGAATCTGTAATTGTTGAGAAAGATCTCTTGATAGATGATGGTGAGCAGCCATGAGGAGATACACAAGGTCACATTTCAGATGAGAAACTAATACATTAGAAAGTTGCTCTCCTTGGCACACATTGTTCACCGAAGCTGACACATCACAACAACTTCCTCCATCTCTCAGTGCACACCTCTGTTGTTGGTGCTGAAGACAGGCTTTCTCTTTGTAGCCCTGGAACTTCCTCTGTGGATCAGGCTGGCCTTGACCTCAGAGTTCTGCCTGCTTCTGTCTCCAGAGTTCTGGGAATAAAGGTAGCTGCTACCATGCCCAGTTGCACATCTTTTAATTGTGCAAACATGGGATGACTTATTGGCTTGGGCAATGGGAAGCAAACATTTCTGGTCCTGATGTCTTGTCTATAGAATAGTAGTGCTCTAAGAACACAGAAGAAAATCACTGATTTAGCCTAACCTTGTTGCAGAGGGAGGAAATGAAGAAGTAGATCATTTGATAAAGGCTCAGCAGGTAATTTTATTGTACTAGAAATAGAATTTCAAATTCATCTATTCACTAATGACTTCCACCTCAAGCTTGATGCGTAAGCAACTTGGTATGTAGTAGTCTCCCTTATCTATGGCTTCACTTTCTGTAATGTCAGTTACCCATGGCAGTCAATCACTGTATGAATGTATTAAGTGGAAAATTCCAGAAATAAACAACTCCTGGGTTTTAAATGTTGCACCTCTCTGGGAAGCATGATGGTATCTCACACCGTCCCACTCTGTCCCACCTGGGATATGATGGAAGTCATCCTTTGTCTGTCAAGTTTATGCTGTGTATTCTGCCTACCACCAATCACACCGTAGCACCTTGGTTACCAGGCAGTTGTCATGGATCTCAGTGCCTGTGTTCATGTAACCCTAATTTTCTCAATAATGGTTAAAGATACAAGAGTAGCAATGCTGGAAATTGGATTCATGAAGAGAAGCTGTAATATATTGTCCTTGAGTGAAGGGTGAAGATATACAATGGAGAGAAAGAGTACACTTATATACCCTCCATTGTAGTGCATTTATATACCCTCCATTGTAGTACATTTAAATAATTCTTCTATCTTTGTTTTGGTTTTGAGATCAGATCTTATGCAGTCCAGGTAGCTAGAAGGTGGCTGTGTAACCAAGGAACACCTTGAACTTCTGCTCCTCCTGCCTCTACCTGAGATTATAGGAGTGCATTATCCCACTGGGTTTTATGCGGTCCTGGGGACTGAACCTAGGGCCTCGAGTGTGCTAGGCAGGCAAGTGTTCTACTAGCTGAGCGACATCTTCAACCCCATTGTTGAAAAGTTAGAGAGAACCAAACAGAATTAAAGAAGGAAAGAAGAGACTGGATGGAAATAAAGAAGAGAGACAAATGCTAATGATTTACATCTCTCTCTCTCTCTCTCTCTCTCTCTCTCTCTCTCTCTCTCTCTCTTTATCTTGTCTTGGGAAAAAAATCCATTTTCACAGGGCTGGGAATGATGACATGTGCCTATAATCCTATCATTTGGGATGCTGAAATAGAAGGATTTTAAGCTCCTGAGTAGCCTGGGCTATAATAGTGAGTTCCTGAAAAGGTAAATCTATTTTCATGGTTAGTTTTCTGAATTTAGAAATTTAATTTTTAATTAACCCATTAACTTTGGCTATGCTATTACAGCAGTCCATGGAATAAGCATCCCCACACTTCCTGCAGTGAGCACATATCCTGTATCACATAGACTATGGGAGACCCCATATGCTCTGCTCCTGAGAAACCCAGCATGTGATGGGAGAACCAGATAGACAGTTATGTGATAGTGTGACCCATGCTGAAATGGAGGTGTTACTGTTGCCATTCAAACAGAGAAAACTGCAACCAACAGAGTATATTGAATTTGCAAAAGGGGAAAATTGGAAAGCTTATGAGATGTGAGATGACTTGTAGGAGGAATGGGGTTTCCGATGAGACAGGAGTGGTGCACGGGGTACGTTTGGGAGGCAGTGAGTAGAGCATGGGAGTTGGGTGAGGTAATCCAGACCCAGAAAGACAATTATCACATGTGCTCACTCATAGGTAGTTTTTAAACATGAAATAAAGAAAGCCAGCCTACAAGCCACAATCCCAGAGATCTTAGACATCAATGAGGACACTAAGAGAGACATACATGGATCTAATCTACATGGGAAATAGAAAAAGACAAGATCAGGGTCCAACTTTTGGGTTTCTGGTTTAGTTTTGTTCTGAAGCACCTGGAAATGACCAGAAATGCTTGGGAGGGATGAGCTGTTGTATTTAAGGAAAATATCCTCTGAAGTCATGATGGTGGTGACAAGGTAGGTTGGGCAAGGAGTCGTTGGAATATCTCAGGCCGGGTACCCAAGGCTCAGAACTAGAGCTGTGGATGTGGGGACACAGACAAGGGAACTAGAATGCTGGTCAATCCTGGGTTGCACTGAAAAGTGTTGGTGACAGACTAAAGACCCTTGGTCAAGGGGAAGATGCGGCTAAGCCATGGATTTGTGCTGTGACCAAGAATGAGCACCACAGATAGGGCAGGTACAGACTAGAGAACGAAATGACTTTTGTTTATAAGTGGGATGGAGACGAGCTCTTCTGTGGATAGATGTGGCCAAGAGGTAGCTGGAAAAAACAGGTCTTTAATTTTTCTCTTAGATGCAGCAGTAGGGGTTGGAGATGTTGGGGACAGGCTCGTGGTGAGCATGGAATAAGGATACAGCTATGGGGTTTTGAAATGTGATTATTTCAGGGGTTGGTGGAAGGAATCTATCCAAAAGAATCTGGACAAGGGACTTGAGAGAACAAACAACAAACAAAAAACCCCAGGAAAGACAACTCTCTTCTCTCTTTACCCTCCCATCTTTCGGTACTGAGGGTTGAACCTTATACATGCTAGCCCAGCACTCTTCAATGAGGTAAATCTCCTGCCTGGAACTCAAGATCGTTCTGTCTCCAAGGGCTGTGATTTCAGGCACACACCACACCAGCCTCTCTGGGAAGCTTTACACTTTTAAAATTTACTTTAAAATTATGTGCTTGGTTGAACTATAGAAGACTTTAGAAATTTGGCAGAGTTATGTTCTAGAAGCTGAGAAATGACAGTGATCGTTGGTTCCTTCCTGCAAAGAGCAGGGGTCTGAAAACCATGCCAGGGCTGAAAAAGAGGCCCTGTCCCATGGAAACGCACAAAAGCTGCTAAAAGAAATGTCCCGACACAATCTTTCCTTAACTGGATAGGTAGCCAAGAATGACCTTGAATTCTGGTCTCCCTGTTTCCATCTCCCAGCTGCTAGAATTACAGACATGCACCATCACACCTGGTATTTTGCTGGGACTCCATCCAGCCCAGGTATTCCTGTGTGCTGCCTTAACACTCTGCCTCCTGAACTACGCCCCAGTTCTCTCTTCCTCTCATTCTAGGCCTTGTCCACTGCAGTAGCCTCTTACCCTCCATGCCCTCAGCCTCCTTCTTACCAGATCTAGTCTCTCACTGAAGCCAGGGCCTGTCTTTTTTCTTTTTTTAAAAAAAAAGCTTCTTTATTTCTTTTTTATTGATTTTTATTGAACTCTACATTTTTCTCTGCTCCCCTCCCTGCCTCTCCCCTCCTTCCTTCAACCCTCTCCCAAGGTCCCCATGCTCCCAATTTACTCAGGAGATCTTGTCTTTTTCTATTTCCCATGTAGATTAGATCCATGTATGTCTCTCTTAGTGTCCTCATTGATGTCTAAGATCTCTGGGATTGTGGTTTGTAGGCTGGCTTTCTTTATTTTATGTTTAAAAACTACCTATGAGTGAGCACATGCGATAATTGTCTTTCTGGGTCTGGGTTACCTCACTCAAAATAATGTTTTCTAGCTCCATTCATTTGCCTGCAAAATTCAAGATGTCATTATTTTTTTCTGCTGCGTAGTACTCCATTGTGTAAATGTACCACATTTTCCTTATCCATTCTTTGGTTGAGGGGCATTTAGGTTGTTTCTAGATTCTTATGACAAATAAAGCTGCTATGAACATAGTTAAACACATATCCTTGTGGCACAATTGAGCATCCTTTGGATATATACCCAAAAGTGGTATTACTGGGTCTTGAGGAAAGTTGTTTTCTAATTTTCTGAGAAATCGCCACACTGACATCCAAAGGGGGGCTGTACCAGCTTGCATTCCCACCATCAATGCAGAAGTGTTCCCTTTTCCCCATAACCTCTCCAGCGTAAGTTATCATCAGTGTTTTTGATCTTGGCCATTCTTACAGGTGTAAAATGGAATCTCCTTAAGTGTCTTTTAGCCATTTTAGATTCCTCTGTTGAGAGTTCTCTGTTTAGGTCTGTACTCCATTTTTTTTTGTTGGATTATTTGTTCTTTTGATGACCAATTTCTTGAGTTCTTTGTGTATTTTGGAGATCAGACCTCTGATGTGGGGTTAGTGAAGATCTTTTCCTATTCTATAGGCTGTCGTTTTGTCTTGTTGATGGTGTCCTTTGCTTTACGAAGCCTTTCAGTTTCAGGAGGTCCCACTTATTAATTGTTTCTCTCAGTGTCTGTGCTGCTGGGGTTATATTTAGGAAGTGGTCTTCTGTGCCAATGCGTTCAAGTGTACTTCCCACTTTCTCTTCTATAAGGTTCAGTGTGGTGGCTTTATGTTGAGGTCTTTGGTCCATTTGGACTTTTGTGCATAGTGATAGATATGGGTCTATTTTTATTCTTCTACATGTTGATATCCAGTTATGCCAGCACCATTTGTTAAATATGCTTTCTTTTTTCCATTCGGTATTCTTTGCTTCTTTGTCAAAAATCAGGTGTTTGAAGGAGTGTGGATTAATATCTGGGTCTTTGATTCGGTTCCATTGGTCCTCCTTTCTGTTCTTATGCCAATACCTGTTTTCAGTACTGTAGCTCTGTAGTAGAGTTTGAAGTCAGGAATTGTGATGCCTCCAGAAGTTCTTTTATTGTACAGGATTGTTTTGGCTATCCTGGGTTTTTTGTTTTTCCATATGAAGTTGAGTACTGTTCTTTTGAGGTATATGAAGGATTTTGCTGGGCATTGCATTGAATCCGTAAATTGCTTTTGGTAATATTACCATTTTTACTATGTTAATTCTGCCTACCCAAGAGCATGGGAGATAGTTCCACTTTTTGGTGTCTTCAATTTCTTTCTTTAAAGATTTAACGTTCTTGTCATACAAGTCTTTCACTTGTTTGGTTAGTTACTCTGAGATATTTTATGCTATTTGTGGCTATTGTGAAGGGTGTTGTTTTCCTGATTTCTTTCCCAGCCCTTTTATCATCTGTGTACAGGAGGGCTACTGATTTTTTTTGAGTTTTTTGTATCCTGCTACATTACTGAAAATGTTTATCAGTTGTAGAAATTCCTTGGTAGAATTTTGGGGGTTGCTTATGTAAACTATCATATTATCAGTGAGAGTTTGACTTCTTCATTTGCGATTTGTATCTCCTTGATCTCCTTTTGTTGTCTTATTGCTCTAGCTAGGACCTCAAGAACTATATTGAATAGATATGGGGAAAGTGGACAACCTTGTCTTTTTCCTGATTTCAGTGGAATCTCTGGGAGTTTCTCTCCATTTAGTTTGATGTTGGCTGTTGAAGCCAGGGCCTTTCTAAAGCAAGAAGCCAATGGCAGCTTCAGTCCTCTTCCCCAAACTTTTCAATGACCAGGACAGCTCAGCACGATTGAGAAAGCACTCAATGCCTACCTCTTCCTAAAATGCCCCATGCTGTCTTCAGCTTTCTGGCCTCCATACTTTCTCTCTCTCCTTTGTCTAGGACATTTTTCTTCCTGCTCAGCTTCATTCCATTCACCTGGCTGCCTCCTTTTCTCCCTCAGGCTCCTGTCTGAACATTACCCCATTGGAGAAAACTCTTATGAGCAGTTGATTTAGTTAATTGCTTCTGTGGTGTGTTCTCAGAGTTGCCTGTACGTCCATTATGGTGCTCCTATATGGCGGGGGCATGCTTCTAAACTCTTTCCCTGATTGTCTTGCCTGTCCCTAGGGTTGGGTGTTGGTTTGATTGACAGGGCACAGGCTAGATCATCATTACGAGTGCCACAGCTGCCTCCATTGAGGGCAGGAGTAGACATAGTGTCTAACGACTGCCTGCCAAGTACTATTGCAAGTGCCAAGCCCTTTAATGATGAGTGAGATATGGCCTGGGAAACTAAAGAATGGTGGCAGGGTGAGAACAAGGTGTTTTCACCAGTTGGCTTCATTCTTGAGGGAGGAATGGTGCTGGGAGGGACATCATGGAGCAAGGGCTCTTAACTATGACAATGCTAAAAACAGAAGCTAAGTGACACAGATCAGCTGGCATGTGGGTTTCCAAATATAGCCAGTGATTGGGTCTTTACTAAAGAGTTCCATTTGAGCTTTTCTTCCCTATTACTGACCAGCTAACTTAGAGTTCCTCAGGAAGTCAGGTTAAATCTGGAGGGTTGAACACTTATTCAGTCTGCAAACATCAATTACAGGGTTGCCAGCACCTCAAACATGTAGGATATCATATATAATTTTTATCTTGCTTTAGGTATTGACTTTCTTAGAACATATATTCTGTATTCTACACCTTGACCCCGACCCTCAACCCCCCAAGATCATAATTCAGCTGTTAGAACTATTTGTTAAATTGATCTTGGACCCCTATAGTTTTTATTTGCTAAATTATGTACTAAATTTGGTGGTTCCATTGAAATGATATTCACAACCCTTACCACCTGCCTTGCTTATAGTACCTATGCTAAGGCAAGCGCTCACCCAGCCCAGTGGTCATTTCCTGTATCAGGAATGTCTCCACTTTGGCCTGCCACTTCTAGATCACTTATTGAGACTTTATTGAATGGTGTAGTCTAGTCCTTTTTCATCGGGGGAGTTCAATTATAAAGTTTATTTTATTGGTGGCCACCTTGTCTCATAGACTCTTGAAAAACTTCCTGCTAGTTAAAATCAACAGGGTGTTGGCGACTTGAATCTTAAGCAACCTCTGGCTTGTGTCACCTGCTGATTTCTGTGATGGGCAGCTGCGGCCAACTTCAGACTACCAAAGAGAAGCTGTGGAAGTCAGTGCCCGGAAGACACACACACACGTTTCACCCTTGAATCTGCATGGGATGCTGCCACTCGGTAGCCACTGGATTTTCCTATGGTTGAACTGCTCTGTGGCTCACTCCTATTTCTCTTCCCTGGGTATGGAATGGCCGAGGGTGCTGTTGTGAGGGGGAGGTTCCAAAAACATGCTGCAGATAGGTGTAAGAAGAGGAGACAAACTGGATGGGCAATAAGGCACAGAGTGGGCTAAACGTGACTTCCAGGCTCCTGGGTATTGTGTCTAATCAAGATAAGAAGAGGGCTGAGGAGGAAAGTTGACTAATTATACACCAGCGAGAAAACATTTATTGAGCACCAAACAATGCACCCTACCAGCTCTCTGGGGTACTGAGGACACAACAGATAAAATTCTTACTTTGTGGAGCTGATATGTTACTTTATATTTCTTATACCCTTATAATTATTATCTTATATGCATATATAATATATACAATAAATATATAAGTTGCAAAACATGCCCTTGTTCCGAGTAGAACATACCACTTCTGTGCCACACTGTAAACTTTCTAAGGTCTAAGAATGTTTTCTTGCCAAGTTCTATTTTGGGCAGATGAGGTAGAGCTAACTAGCCACTGCTTACCCTTTATCTCAAGTAATTCAAACTATGTTTTTAATGTAAAAAAGGAATTTAAATCAGCTGAATAATCTTATATATAATATAGTCACTTCTGTTATATTAGAACAACCCTCCCTCAGGGAAAAATCCCTTACATATGCCAGCAGGAATTGTATTCTAATGAAATATACACACACAAGTTTTTCAAAGCTCACTATAAAAGTGCTTCCTTTGGATGTCCTAACAATAAAGACTTTATTCGCCAGTTTTCACCTCCTCACTGCTAGAAGACATTCACAAAGTATAGATGCTGCATGGCCCCAACAGCATGTATTTACACAGGGGAAAAGTAACTCAAAACAACTTGTCAACCCATGTCTTGAGTTATTCATTCCATAACCAGGTCGAGAGAGGGTGGCCGTCATGTAGGCTCTGGCTTCTGGTGGGGTCCACCTTCAGCAATCATCTTAGCTTCAGCCACCTTAGAAATAAATTCTGTTCTGCTGCGTGGCCCATCAAGACTCTAAAGAGCGTCATCCAGACAACACCTTCTTGCATCAGGAACAGTGGCAGTAGACCAGCCACTTCACTTAGGGGTTCGGAAGGTACCAGAATCAAAACCTACTACATTCCATTTGTCCTCTGAGCAGATTTTGCAGCTATATGCAATGTTCCAATAAGTTTTGGACATGGAGGCATCTAGAATATTCTCATTTTGTTTCAGTGGTGTGTGTGTGTGCATGCGTGTGTGTCTGTGTATGTGTCCTCATATCTCCTCTTATGAATCAGCTTTAGATTTGGTGAAGCATCCTTACCTCTGAGGTGCTGTTTCTGAGTTTCTTGTTTTTGTCAGATTTTTTTTTTTAAATTGGCTACAAAGTGCCTTCCAGAAGCTGCTGTATGGATACCATATATGGAACTTTCTGGAAAGCTTGGCTTTTAGTTTCTTTGAAAGGAGCATGAATGGACACAAAGAGGTTTTTATTTTCTTAGTTCTGCTACTCAATGTGTTTTAACATGCATATAAAATCCGATCATGCTAGGCCAGGTATGAAAAGCTTCTCCAGGTGTCTCTCTTGTCTCATCATTTTGCCGTTCTTTGAGAGAAGGCAGTGACCGGTGAACGTCGTTGTCGGGTAAATTAGTCCTTTGTCCATTAGCCTAGGGTTAGCGTCTTCTTTTTCTTGCTTGTGCACTAACATGTGGGCTTTGTTTGAAACCTGTTTCACTTCAAAAATTTTCAGTGCAGCCTTATTCAATCCTGCTCAAGCAGAACCTGGGAGCCCTTCAACAGGAAGAGTTCTTGGGCTAATCACAGCGTCATGGCAGCCCCACAACCTTGACCTAGCTCTTATTCCTGATTATACTGGGATCTGGTTTTCTTTACAGCAACACTGAAAGAAAGACCAACCAAGTTAAGCTTTAAAACAGATAGAGAGGTAGGAGTTGCTCAAAGTGAGAGGTTCCTGAAATATACAGTTATCAACCCAAACTCATTTCCTTCCAAGCTGGGGATAATGGTCAAAGAACTTTCTGGAAACCCCGGTTGCTTGAGAAAGCACCCTGCACTTCTTGCTGAGCTCTGCAAGCTCACTAAGCCGAAGCGCCCTTAGTACCTTGGTGATTGCTTGTGCCCATACACTCCGTGGACCAGTCCTCGGGGATCACGGGATCCAGTAGTTCCGCAAACTTCTCCAGAGGGCAGCTGTGGGTGCAGCCAGGCAGTGTGAGCGGGTAGGGCTCGTGCTGGGTCTCATTCCGATAGTACATCTCCACGAAGTGCCCCCTGGTGGACAGGCAGAGGACAGCACTGTTAGCTCCGCGATGCTAAGCCGTCCCGTGAATTTCTTTCCACCCTACTGTCACCCTAACCTAAGGACCAGCGGAATGGGGAAGGCTGGTTTGTTAGGTAAGCCAGGCATGGAGAGTGGGGGACAGCATCCTTCATCAGAGATCATTAGCAGAGCTGGGTGTGACTTTGAGTAAGAACGAAGATCTACTATTTTTGAAGACCTTTAATTTTTATATGTGTGTATGCCCATGAGTGTATGCCATGTGTTTTGTGGGTGGGTACCCACGGGGGAAAGAGGGCTCGGATCTCCTGGAGCTGGAATTACAGACAGCTGTGGGCTGCCTGATATGGGTGCTGAGACCCAAACTCAGCTCTTCTGTAAGAGACTACTCTTAACTGCAGAAACCTCTCGTAAGCTGGTTGTTGTTATTTTTTAATTGTATTTATTTTTTACGAATACCCCTGGTTCCTATTGAAAATGGACACTTAATCCTCGGTGTAGCTTCCTTCATGTTTGTACTGAGGGACTGGACTGTCCTAATTTCTTAGCTCTCATGTTAAACTGGCCACAGATAGGGTCCTAAGCAAAAAGTCAGAGGCTTTGTCTTAAGACAGCATTTCTCAACCTGTGAGTTGAGACCCCTTTGGGCATCCAACGATCCCTTTCACAGAGGCCCCCAAGACCATCACAAAACACAAATATTTCATTACAGCTCATGACAGTAGCAAAATCACAGCTATGAAGTAGTAATGAAAATAATTTTATGGTTGGGGGCCAACACGATGTGAGGAACTATATTACAGGGTCGCAACATTAGGAAGGTTGAGAACCCCTGCTCTAAGGGGACAAGGTCAGTTCAGGGGATAAGGAAGGAGAGGTACGTTCATCTCTCTTGTTTCCATTTGATCTCTAGGTAAGGAGGCTTTTAATCTTTGTAAACAGGAAAAATTTTGCTTTCCAGTTTCCTGTTAATGGCAAATATAGAAATAAATAAAGTCTTACTGATTTCTAGAGGGGCCAGGAAATGTGGGGTCTTCTAGAGGGGCCAGGAAATGTGGGGTCTACTAGGTGCGGGGTCTCCCTTCTCCTGGTCTGTCTCTTCAATGCTTCTCGTTCGCTCCTTTCTTTTTTCTCTGCTCTCAGGTATTCTTTCAGGCTTTGTCTTAAATGTGTCTCTCCTCTCCTTCAGCAGCAAACACAGAAGGGAATAATGCAAGACAGCTGGGGATATGCCAACACTTCAGAGAAAGTTCTCTCCGAGGAGAAAGAGATGGGTTCAATTCCTGAGTCATTCTAAGGGCTCTGCCTGAAACCTGCTTCTATCCAGGAAGGCTGACTGGCCCGTGCCAACCTGTTTGTGGAAGTAACTCACCAATGAAAGAGTCAGGAGGGAAATTCAAGTAAGAGTTAATGATCTGTCTCATTATAATGACCTCAAATTGCAAATGTCATATAAACAAACCTTTAAGATACCACTTTAAAGAAGGAAGATAGTGACTGCGTGAAATATTCATTTATGAGATACGTTTTTGTTTGTGTATATGTGTGTGGTATGGTGTGTGTATACACATATATGTTCAAGAGTGGAGATCAGAGGTTGTTGTGTTTAGTGTATATGTGTGTGGTATGGTGTGTATACGCATACATGTTCATGGATGGAGATCAGAGGCCAATGTCTTGTATCTTCCCCCACTGTTTTTCTATTTAATTTAGAGACAGGGTCTCCATCGATGAATATGGAGCTTGCTGTTTTGGCTGCACTGAATGACTGTTGATTGCCAGGATCTACCTGTCTTTGACTCCCAGCACTGGGGTTGTATACACACACACACACACACACAGTTCTTACATGAGTGCTGGGGATTTGAACTCATGGTGTGGGAGGTCCTTCTGTCTGTGTGTTGCTTTTCTTGGTTAATGAATAAAGAAACTGCTTTGGCCTGTTGATAGATAGAACTGAATGCTGAGATAAAGAAAGGCAGAGTCAGGGATGCTATGGAACCACCACCAGAGTCAGACATGCTGAATCTTTGCCGGTAAGCCACTGCCACAAGGCGATATACAGATTATTAGAAATGGGTTAAATTAATATAAGAGTTAGCCAATAAGAAGTTAGAGCTAATGGGCCAAGCAGTGTTTTAATTAATACAGTTTCTGTGTGATTACTTTGGTTCTGGGCAGCCGAGAACAGACAAGCTGGCCTTCTCCAAAAAACTCATGTCCTCAATCTGCACAGCAAACACTGTATCCATTAGGCCATCTCCCATCCCTCAAGATACATTTCTTAAAATGCCCAGTATGGAACAAACTGGTGACTATATCTCTGAGTGTCGTTTTCAGTAACAGCAACTCTGTTTTCCCAAGTGTACTTGATGACCAACAGTCTATCAAAATCATGATTATATCCAAAGACTAGAGTTATTTCTCAGAGTCTGTTGTGCCCACCCCAGCAGGATCAAGTATCCCCTTTTAGCTGATAATGCATGAACAAACAGGCCACGCTTCCTTGGGGCTGAGGTACTTGATAAGCCACTTGCCCTTTGCACTTAGGAATTCCTTTGGAGGACCTGCCAGCAGGTGGGCAGCCCTAGAAGCTGTAGGTCGGAAGCCCAGTGCCTGACTGATGTCATATGACATCACAGCACTCGCCTTGACCTAGTGACCTAGTGGCCAGCTATCCCCTGCCCTGGAGGGTTAGATACACAAGAGATAACTTTCCATTGTTCAAAGCCTCTGAGAACCCTAGGTTTATTGATGCTGAAGGGAAAGTTAATTTTATGAATTAATCTATCTGCCAAGTAGTTTCTGAAGAGGATCTGGTGCTGAAGATACAAACTAAAGACACACAAAAATGGATAAAATTGTGGCATAAAATGTGAAAATGGAAAAATACAGTTATTTAACATAGTTAATTACTTTACATAATCTATGGCTTTAAACTGATATGCCCGATTAGAGAGAGAATCCTTGAGGAGCAGCAGGCATGGTGCTGCATGCCTGTAATCTCACCACACAGACCTGAGAGAGGAGGGTTGCAAACTGAAGTCCTGCTTGGGCTACACTGTGAGGCCCTCCTTCAAAAAACAGCAAGGCCTTTAAGTGCACAAGTAGCCATGGCATCTACAGTTTCAATCGACTACATATGTAAAATGGCTAGGAATTGAACACATTCTCCCTCCGTGTCCCTATCTTTTCTTCTTTCAGGAGAAATTACAGACTCCGAGTCAGGATTAGGTAATACACAACCAAAGCACATGATAACTTGGGCCCTCCTTATTCTAACTGAAAAACAAGCAATCAAGTTTAACCCTTGAATTTTCCCTGAAGTCCAGAAAAAGACATCCCAGTGTAAGCACCAGGTCGATATGTGTGTGTGGCCCTTTGATAAAGGGCATGAATGCTCAAGTCTCCTGGTGGAAAAGAACCCCAGATTTGGTTAGTAACAGGGACAGGGGTGAGGGTGTGAGAGAAAGTGATCCAGTGAGAATATACTATAGTACCTCAATAAAGTTTAGGGCTACACACCCCGATAATGCAAGTTTAGGACTTCACACCTAGATAATACAAGTTTAGGACGGTATACCCCAGTAAAACAAGTTCGGGGCTGCACACCTCAGTAAAACAATTTTAGGACTATACACCCTAAGAACGCAAGCTCGGCTGTGGTGAAGACACTGGAGAGAATAGAGGGCTGGAGGAAATTGATAAATCCTCTTATCTCCGAAGAGACGGACTACTCTAGAACGGATGCCAGGATTTTAGCTGGATCTCTCAGCGTGTGCCCAGAGCTGGCCTTCGGACTCCTGTGTTATTGGGAGAGCATTTCTTGTTCCAGGCCTCTTACTGCCATGCTCTGATTTGCTTGCTAGTTTCCACTATGAACTCTTCTCTCCATTGATGGTAGGTGTTTGAAAACAAGAGTAGCCAAGTTGACATTTTAGGTTCACTTTTTCATGTCTGGTGCCAAGTTAGAGGTTCAGGAAAGAGAGTGTCTACCTTCTCCTGGCTGTGCAGGAGTGAAGGTATTGACTGAGGATGAAGTATTGGTGCTGTTATACTTTCTTATAGTGGCTCCCTGCTAAGAGACTCTGAACAGCCTGCAAATATATCGCGCGAGAGGTACATGGACCAATCACAGCATATGATATACAAATGAAGGCTTGGATTTGCACCAGTCACAGCACAAATCTCATGTAAAAATGAGAGTTTAGCTGGGCAGTGGTAGCACACGCCTTTAATCTCAGCACGTGGGAGGCAGAGATGATAGGTGGATTTCTGTGAGTTCAAGGTCAGCCTGGTCTACAGAGCCAGTTCCAGGACAGGCTCCAAAGCTACAGAGATACCCTGTCTTAAAACAACAACAACAACAACAAATGAGAGTGTATGTTTCATCAGTTAGTTTTGCCCTGTTAGCACCAGTTACAATAGTCACTCTGCTGTGCCACCAGCGGAAGTGCTCTGCCTTGGACCTAGTTTGAGATGGTTACAAAGCCATTTAGAGTTCACCAAACCTCGTGGTAGCAAAATGTCTGATAAAAACTATGTGAAACAATCTTTGCTGGCACTGCACCTCAGCAGCACTGAAGGTGTTCATAGGATGTTATTCATAGGGTGTTCAAATCGGCCGATACTAGCATAACGGTAGTCCAACACGGTAGCTCTTTGGTAGTTTTCTTGCTCAAGACTGCCAGGGTAGCAAGGGAGAGTCTAACAGCTGCTAATTAAGGAGTTAAATTGCCCCATCCCTCAACATTTTCCCTAGTGGAAAATGAACATCAGAAGGAATGCTCACAGTGAGAAGCTAAAGAGCATACCATCAACACTGATAATAATTTCAACAGATTTTAAACAAATGTTTATTAACATCTGCCCATTGCTCCACGGGGACCCTTGTGCCATTTTAAGAACTAGTTCTCTGCTTCCTGTTTGCGGAGTGAGATGCAAGCTCTCAGCTGCTGCTCCAGGTCCATGCCAGCCTGCCTGCCTGCTACGATGCTCCCTGTCATGACGGTGATGGACTCTTATCTCTCTGGTGTTATGAGCCTTCAATAAGTCCTTCCTTCTATAAGTTGCCTTGGTCATGGTATTTTACCAAAGCGAATCAAAGTAACTAATATATTTGTCAATTTTTTTTTTCTGATTTTCCCAGAGATCTCCCACTTGAAAAGCAAAACTCTTCATCCCTGAAGTCCTTCGGTTCCAGATAAAGCAAACCATTTAAACCTCTAGCCTGACTTTTCTTTGTCCTATTTTCTTTCAGGGGTCAAACTAATCATCAGTGAGAGTCCCACCAGGTCACAAGGGGGTAAATACTGCTCGGCAGTTGACTCTAAGACACAGGATGCTGGATACGAGTCACCAGGAGCTGTGAGAGAGCTTGGGCTGTTTAATTGAAAGATATTTTACATAAGCATCAGGCATCTTTATTTCCCTCTTGGCGTCTTGTACCAGACAGTTTTTTCCCCAAGAAAAGAAAAAGTAATGTCTGCCTTCTTTTTTTTATTGCCTTCATTAAAAAAAATGTAATTTCCTCTACTTTGGATGGTTCCCTCAATCCATCTAATATGTATACATTATTTCCCAATAAAAGACTCATGCAATAGAAAGAGCCAAAGTCCTGTTGTCCCCACTCCTTCCCTCCGACTATGAAACCAAACAGAGATTGACACAGTGGGCACAAAGCCAACAACAACAAAATAACAGCAGGCTGGCATAGTAGCCCATTGCAGCAGCTCCAGCGCCTGGGAGCAGGACCAAGACCAGCTTCTGCTATAAATTGAGCGCAAGGCTGACCCCAGGTACATAATAAAACTTTGTCTAAACAAACAAATCAGACTCCTAGCTGAGAGATATAGAGGAAGATATATTCTCCTGAGAGATATATTCCTCAGAAGAGGAATAGCTGGCTTACTTTAGAGGGTCCTGGAAGATTGACCATTCTCCATGAATATATGAGCATCACAAATTGGACTTAGTGGAGCAGCCTATAAAGGACATGAAGTTGGGAAAGTGTGTGTGTGTGGTGGGGGTGAGTGAGGAGGATCCAGGAGTGGTTCAGGGGAGGATGATGGAGGTGAATATGTTCAAAATACATTGAATGCATGCATGGAATTCTCAAAGGATTAATAAATTAAAAAAAAAATCTCTATGAGTTTCAGGCAGCCTGGTTTGCGTAATGAGTTCCACGGCGTCCAAGGCTACTTAGTAGGATCCTGTCTCAAACACAAACAAACAAACAAACCCAAACTAGTAACATCAAAGCGGCCGCTTACCCCTTTTCTTGGTACAATTCCATTATGTGGCAAGACGCATAGGGAGGTAGAATTCCATTATAAACATCTAGCGCCATCTGCAGGCCACTCACAGTAGTGTCGTGCTACGGAGATAGGAAACAAATTTTGTTGTTTGCTTCACAGGCAACAAACTTCAGCAAGCGTTAAGATACAGCGGTGGTTCCTGATCCCTCCATATTCTCATTGACTTAATATGTAAGAAGAGGAATGCGTTTCTCTGACGTGTCTGGGCAGTAAGATCTATTCATAGATTGTTTTCATCTAAAAGATGAAGAAACTGATATCCAAGAAATTAGGCACTATGCTTAATTTCATACAGTCATAAAATAGGAATAAATGTGAAGCAAATCTCCTGATTTTAAATCCCGTGCCTATAGTAGGACTCCTTCCCTTCTGCATGCTATACTGGTTTTCAATACATTTAAAAAGTCTGGAACACATGAAGGCTAAATTGCATTTCCCACAGATTTGCAACATCTTTGATTTTTAAAGTTGTAGGAGAGTATCTGATACCAAGGATGTTTAGGGAGGTTAAAGATGTAAGGGATTGGGGAGTGTAAGATTAAACTATTAAACGATTAATGTAGTAGTTCTTTACCTCAGAGTGGTTTTTAATTCCGCTCTTGGCATGGATAAACTGTTTAATCTCAGGTAACTACATCTTCCATTTGTATAAAATGGGAGGACATTTGACTGCCTGGGGTTGGGACTATACCTCAGTTGGTAGAAAGCACAAATCTCTGGGTTCAATCCCACATATTGGGGAACACACACACACACACACACACACACACACACACACACACACTTGTTGCATATATCTGGAAACCTAAGCTGAATGATGGGGCACACATATTCAAAAGGAGTTAGAAGCGATCTAGTTAAATCTTAGACTTTCCAGAATTCACACAAGTCAGGACCACAACCTCATTTAGAAACTTTAAGAGACTGACAGCATTGTCTCACCCCAGGCTCACTTCCCTCTCAGAAGCACTTCCCTTATCTTCCTTCATGGACTGTTTCTCTAGTCCTTCCCATTTCGAGTGTATGCAGGTAACAATCCCCCTGTCTTTGGGCATTTCTTCCCCGTCCTCCAGCTGAAGCATAGCCTTCCTCACAACTAAACTAACCATTTCCTCTCCTGTTGCCACCCCAGTTTTACGCTGCACCCAATTTCCCCCCAATATAGACCAGTCTTCTATCCTGTATCCTGTTCCCAGCTTCTACTCATGTACAGAAGGATGCGTTCCTGGAGCAATGCCCCTGTTTCACCTCCCTGGTCCTGTCTTCCCTGTGCGAGCATCTTTGGGGGGCTTTCCACACATTACCACAAACAGGCACACGGGACAAGATGGCCTTGCAGAGCCTTCTGGCTCAGACAGTCTGCACTGTTTGCAGATTGCCTAACAAAATGGTGATGATGAGAAGGCCCAGCATCTATGCTGGCTGTTCAGGAGATGCTGGCTGCATGGCTGCATGGCTGCATGACTGCATGGCTGCATGGCTGCATGACTGCATGAACAGTGTAAATGTGGACAGTGCAATAGAGACACTTAAGCTTTCTTTGCTTCTTCCTTTTCTTTTTTCCTGATCCTCTTCTCTTCTCCCCCGCCCCCCCACTTTCTGAGATAGGGTTTCACTGTATGGCCAGACTATCTTGGAGCTCTCTACGTTAGTAGTTCTCAACCTTCCTAATGCTAAAACCCTTTAATACAATTCCTCATGTTGTGGTGACCCCCAACCATAAATTATTTCATTATTACTTCATAACTGTAATTTTACTACTTTTATGGATCATAATGTAGATATCTGATATGCAGGATATCTGATATGTGACCCTCAAAGGAGTTGCGACCCACAGGTTGAGAACTCCTGCTCTATCCAGTCCAGACTTGCCTTGGCCTCATAGCAATCTTCCTGTCCCAGTCTTCTAGGTAAATGCTGAGATTACATGTATGAACTACCACATTCAACCTGAGGTTTTGTTCTATTTAATTAGAACTGATTTAAATGTAAACAGTTGTATGTAGCTGCAAGGTTCTATAGCAAGTAGACCAGTTGTCTGTTAATTCTATACCAGAGTCTCCACAAAAATGTTCCTAGCTGTTCACTGTTTAAGCAGTTTTTTCATGAGCCTTACACGCCAATGAGGAGCCACACTATCCCCTCCCCCCTTCTCTTAATGACCCAGCGGACTTCCTACTTCAGGACACCCATGCATCTTTTTCCCGAGTCCTGCAGCAGAAGGATGGCTGGCTGCCTCTTTGAAGGTGCAAAGGCACTTTCTTCTACTGGATTTCGTGTTGTGTCGTCTGGTATCATGTTTGTTGTATGCCTGTCTCGCTGCTGGCATTAGCATTACATTGTAAATTCCTCAAGGGCAGAATGATGTATTTCATTCCAGAAGCTTTGTGCAGGCTTCTACCATTCTCTGGGTGACGGAGATATGAAGATGATGACGTCATACACATGAACATGTCTATGCTAAGTGAACACAGAGGCACTTACTGCAGAATACATGACAAATTTTCTGTATTTCTGTGACTGAGTTGCAGTCTTCATGTTCTTGAGGATTTCGCTGACCAGGACACCTTACAGGAGACAAAATCAACACACAGATAAATCAAACATAGACTTATATAATGATCTACGGGCTTCTTGTCTAATCACAACCAAGAGTTCTGTCTGTTGTGAGTTAACCGACCAGGCAAAAATCTATTTTGCCGCATAATCTGCTTCATGCCAGACAGTATGATTAGGTCTTGTGCAAGCTGAAACTCAGAGGCACATATGACTTACACAGCTTGGAAAAGAAAGTCGAATGGGCCCCATGCAGCAAAGACTAGTGAACTTATTTTTTCTGTACAAGGCCAGATAGGTAATATTTTAGATTTTGTGATAGGCATAGGTCTGCGGCCACCACCCTGTTTTATAGTAGTACCAGGGAAGTCACTATAGGCAGAACAGAATATATGAGTGCGGCCGTTTCGAAAAGGCCTTATTAGAGCCCCGTTTGTAGCCATTTCTGGGACATCAGCCACCAAACCCTTTGTGACTTCTAACTTCCAAGGGTCTTTTCCTTTCAGGGGAACACTGACTGCCCTTCTTCCAAAGGGCTAGGCAGAAGTGCCATGCTCCATCTCTGTCCATCCAAAGGATGCTGATGTTCGTCTTGTACAATAATACTATGAAGGTCAGGAGGTTGGCGCAGCAGGACAGGTTTTCAGGAAGGAAGACTTGTGCTGCAGTGGGGAAAGCTAGATGCATAGGTGTCCACATGGCCTTCCCCTTAGCATGGTGCTGAGCATCAGGCTAACACCATACAAAGGCCTCAAAACAATCCTGGAACAGGAAGCCAGACTTTGCCAAGTAGAAGAAAAGGGCAAACACAAAGAAGAAACAATGGAGAAAACGCAGGCCTAGAGTAATGCTGTATCCAGCTTTCCTTAAAAGCTGATTAAATGGAACATAACGGCAACTTCATTTACAAAATCCGGTGTCAGGCTGTATTCAGCCTATAGACAGTTATTTGTCAGTCCCTGGTCTATGGCAAGAATAGACAAATGTTCCTGAACCAGATTTGGGGGTTTAGGGAGTATGTGTGGGTACATATTGCTAAGCACTGCCATCCACAAAACCAAGTGCAAGACAGAAGTTCCAGCAATGGTTAAAGAACATCGGCCACCATCTGGGTGTTCTTGTGTTGCTGTGCCATGGAGGCAATGGATGCTTTCTATGTAGGATTGTGTCTGTTTTATCATTCAGCCACCACGTGATTGACGAGTCTCTCTCACCTAGCAAGGTCAGAACAACAAGCTAAGACAGTGTTTTGTCAAAACCATGCAGGAAGCTGGGCAGGGTGGCACATACCTTTAATCCCAGCACTTGGGAGGCAGAGGCAGGCAGATCTCTGTGAGTTCAAGGCCAGTCCAGTCTACATATGAACTTCAAGGATATCCAGAGCTACACACAATGAGATCCTATCCCCCAACAATAACAACACTCAATAGCAGAGAAATCCATGTGGGAAACAGTTTTCTGGCTAGTCAAGGGCAATGGACTTTCCCCATAAAACAGGTCAGGCCAGCCTTTATAATCTAAGGCCAGACATCTCATAAGAAGGACTATTCTGTAGAGAATCTAGTTTAATCCTCTCTTCAAATCGGGAACTCATACCCTCAGAGAGGAAGTGCCTTCCTCCTGGTGTAATCCTCCAGTAGCCCACTAGAATGCACCCTATTTCTGTTCCTATAAACAAGTCCCTACAGTTAGCATTAGAGTTCTGATATAAAGCACATAGAGATTTCATTAAAATGCATATTTTCACTCTGTAGGTACTGGGCGGGTTCTGAGAGTCGCCTAGCCACTGTTGGGTCTGCTGATGCTTCCTGCTGTACTCTGAACAGAGTATTCCTGGACCCTTCGTTGATGTGGATGGAGGAACTTATCTAGGATTCCACCTTCACCTTCTGATGGGGCTTGGGGCTGAAACGTACTGTTGGTGTCTGCTGGACCAGAGATGAGGCCTGCTGCTTGTACAGCCCGTGAGGTCCTCTGCATCCTTTGCTGTGAAACATGCGGGATGGAGTGTCTTCCATGCCTCTGTATTCTACTTGGGAAATTTCCCAGTTTTCCAGGTTCCATCTAAGACTCCTCTCTGTGATGTACTGCTTTTCCTAGAAGGCTGAGGCCTGCTGCGTTTGCATTAGTGTAGAGGGAAGGCCTGAACATTTTCATTCAGTATAGCTCTGTGCCATGTGACTGGGACTTCTGCCACAGCAGCTAAATAACGCCCTGAGATTCTTAATGACCATTGTCCTAAATCGTCAGTCCCAACCTACTTTATACATCTCATGCAAGTTTGCTCCTGACCAGCCCGGTTTCATCCCTTGTCCACTGTTCTCCTGGGAACAGCTGGCATGTAGCCCGACTTTTCTAGCTGCCTTCGCCTCTTCTGGCCAATGATTCAAATGCTTTAAATAGTTATCCATTTCCTGAACTGGTCCAGGTCCTCCCAGTCTAGTCTGGTTCCCAGAGCACTTCCTCTCTGTGCATTCTTTAAGTGACTTGTCTTGATCAAGTGTGACCATCTCCTAGTGGCTGATATCCTGATATAATTGTACTACAACCCTCAAAACGTTCCGAGCATGTCAGACGGACAAACTCTCTTCACCGTGTCAACTGTTAACACAGCTGGACCTTCTCTTGTTTCCCCTCAGTGCTGGTGACTGCATTAGGCACATCTGCGCCTGACTCTCCCTATTTCACATTTTGGTCCGCTTACGGAGATCTCCTTGCCAGCCCCAGTATCTCTCCCATCCTGGCTTCTTTCTTCTACTTCCCTATCCTAATTGTAAGGACCTAGCATTCCTCTTTCTGCCTTGCTTCCGGGATGGGAGGTGTCAAAGTCTACAAAGTGCCAATCCTAACCATGAAGTAGACTCACTGATAAATATCTTGATATCCTCCAGTACCAGTGAAAGAAGTCATATAAACTTGCCAATAGCAGTATCTGTCAAATATTTGCAAAACGTATCAAACTTTTGCCAAACTTCACACTTATAGTGAGTGCATCCTAGCAGCTGCCAGACACAACCCGTTCTCATGGAACGTAGACAATAAATCCTTAATTATTACATCTGGAAGAAATGGAAAGGACCATTTGACTGTAGCCCCGAATTCTCATTTCCAGAATTAAAAATTTACACGCAGAGTGGGCAATGTCAGTCTCTTATGGCAATGCAGTGTTTATGAACGGTGTGTCGGGTACCAGTTCCTGTTTCTTCTCAGCCTCCTAACCGCACGTTCGTCTTAGTATTCCCGGCCTCGTGAGCAGTGCTCTTCTTAGATCTGCTTTGCAGACTGGAAACTTCAGGATGCTAGAGTGATCCATGTAAAGTCACTCAGGGGGTGGGTAGCAGGACTGGAACTCAGACCCAGACTGTCCAAGTGCAAAGCTAACATTTTTTCTCATTATATAGAAAATCCGCTCACCTCCCTGGAGTCTAGATTTTTCTTTCTGTTTGTGAATTCCATACAGCGAGAGCAGAGATAATTCTGATAACTCTCTCAACTTCGTCATGGTGTCCTCGGTGGCCCAGGAGGGCAAGGTGAAGTTGTGAACACTCTGCAGGAACAGGAAAGAAGGGAGACAGGAGCACAGTTGAGAGTTATGACTTCCTTTGCCGATTTCTGTTTCCTCTTCGTCCTGTATGAACAACTCCGGCCAGGCAACTTTGCTGATCCTGCCATGTCTCTCTAAAAATTTGTGAGCGCTAGCCATGGTTTTCGGATGGAAGAACAAAATAAAATAATTTGTCCTTCCCTACAAACTTTATGGCTTAACTTTGGCTCAGTGTATAATTCATACTTTACAAAAAAGGATGCCGCCTCAGGGGCAAGGATGCACCTCATTCCTTTTAGAAAGGTTTAGGAATATTGTTGTGAACCTTTGAGGGAGGCTGGACTAGTTAGCTGTGGTCAGTAGACACAAGCTAGAGTCACCTGGGGAGAGGGACTCTCAATTGAGGAATGACTCCCATCAAATTAGTCTCGGACAAGTCTGTGGAGTGTTTTCTTAGCCAGTAATTGATGGCAGCAGGGCCACTGTGGGCAGCACCATGCCGGCAAGTGGTCTTGGCTTGTATAGGAAAGCTGACTGAGTGTGAGTGGAAGGGGCCAGGCAGTAAGTGGCATTCTCCTGTGGTCTGTTTCTAGGACAAAGGCAAAGGGGGTGTGTAGGCTAGGTGATGTTCCCTAAAAGTCAGGACTTTCACATGAGGTCAGTTATAAAAGTCCATGTATTTCTGGAATCTTCACAGGTTTACTATGAACGTCTAGTTCCTGGCTGGAGGAACATCTGTACCTAATACACAGTGAGTACTGGCAAGTGTTTGTCAAATGTGTGACCGAGCTGCAATTAGTAAAGATACCGACCTTGTGGAGACGTTTTTACCTATTAAGGAAAGTTGATTAGAATCTCCCTAGTTTCAAAAGTGGGAGAAGGTGGGGTGGGGGAGAAGGAGAGAGAGGAATGGAGGAGAAAAAGAGAAAAGGTTTTAAGAAGAGCAGAGTAAAGGGATGCAGAAGGAAGATGCAAGCGATGTGACAATTACATCAGTTGACATGACCTTATTAAAGAATAGCTCAGGGAAAACCTTATGAAGTTGCTGGGGTATGACTCAGTGACAAAGCTTGGGGGTAGCTTTATGACTGTGTCCTGGCCTTAATCTTCAGAACAGGCATATGAACAAGCAGAAAATGTAGAGAAGAAAAGGAGAAGGAGGAAAAGGAGGAGGAAGAAGAGGAGGAAGAAGAGGAAGGAGGAGGAAAAAGAAGAAGAGGAAGAAGAAAGAGGAGGAGGAGGAGGAGATCCGCTGCCAGGACTGAAATGGGAGCCTTAAACTTAAACAAACCCTGAAGATCAAGAGAAAACATGGGTGAGTGCATGGTGAGGGGGCTGACAGTCACAGAGATGGGTGAACTGGGTGATCTCTCTTTGAGACAGAACTCGGAAGGTGGCTTTTGCCCCACACCCTCATGATGCCCTCCACGTCAGAAGTGGACGTGAGGCTTGCAGGGGTCAGAATTCTGCTCCAAGACACAGGAATAAAAATTACTTCCTTTGGCCAGAAGATGGAGCCCGGTGAACAAAAAGCTTTATCCTAGCCACAGAGATGATTCCCATTGCACCACACAGGGGAGTTCTTTCTCAGAAGCCATGGCTGACAGCCTAGCGTATAGTTGTCTGACTTATTTTAATATCCAGAACCTGGCAGTTTTTCTCCCCTTTATATATAACAACATTACTTTTTTCATTAAAACCAATGACAGGAACCTGGCATTCTAGTGTGACTGCAAAGTAAATGAGTGGCAGTGTTTTGAAGGAAAGCAATTTTGTTTGCAATTTTCTAAAGGGCAGAAACACAAGTAAGGAGAAGAGAGGAGTACAGATTTTCGAGCTTGTATAAGAACATCTCGAGTTATATTTCAATATCAGAGGCCATAGAAGCAGTACGTGTTTAAAAAGAGAAAGAAGATGAATGAATTTATCTGATTCAATATACACACCAAGTCACAAATAAATTTTTGATGAGCTCTTTTACCTCACAATATAAAGGGTCGTAAACCTTACTCCAAATTCCAAAGAGATCCTGGCCAGGGAATCCTGACAGTGATGGCAAGGTTTCTATGAAGCTCTGGAACACAAAGAGAAGGAAAATATTTCAAAGCTTGGACTTCTCATCATCCATAGACTTTGATATCTATTGCAGCAAGATGCAGCGAATGATACTGGCAAGAATGATGGTGACTGACATATTTGATGTGAGCTTCTTTCCAGAGTACACTAAAACTGCAGATAGACGCTAGCCTACTGCCACATGCTCCTGGTTTGTGCTGGGTGCTGAGGGAAGCACTCTGCCTGGACTCTTTAGAAATGGGTGAAGTATAACACATGCAAGTGAATGTCCTGAGGCAAGCAGAGGAAATTTGGGCAAAGCGCACAGAAATCTTAATCATAAAAATGAGATCTGGGGGTATATAGGGGTAGGTGTGTGTGTGTGTGTGTGTGTGTGTGTGTGTGTGTGTGAGTTCCTGTGAATAAATGCTATATCTATTTGTGCAGGCAATTCACTAGAAGGTTCTATGTTGTCATAACAAGATACATGTTCAGCTATCGGACTGTGAGGTTGGTAGCCATTCCAAGGTCTTTGGAAGACCAATTTGATGGATAAATTTTCTAGAAGACTACTCCTTGCCAATATTAACCTCAACAGACTTCGATCAAACAAACAGAAATAAATGTTAAACAGTATCCTATTCGTGGGTCTGGGAAGACAGCTTCACTCCTGGTACCCATGTAAAAAGTCACACTTGGTGACACGAGCTTGTAATCATAGAATCAAGGAGATGGAGACTGAGGGTCCTTGGGGACTTGTAGTCAGTCAGCTAGTAAAGGCAAAGGGTGAACCCCAGCTCCCAGAGAGAGAGAGAGACCCTGTCTCAAATAAACAAAGTGGATGATCCTGAGGATTGACCCTTGAAGGTGATTCTGGGCTCTACATACAAGTGTGTGCACATCAGCGTTCAGGAACACTCAAAACACACCCCCCCCCAAATATACACCGGGTGTGTGAAGAAGGTTTCCATTTTTCTCTCTTCAAATATAAAAACCTCGGAATGCATGATTTCTCTGAGGCACTCCATGGGGTCCCCTTTTTCTTCATGGTCAGTCGGCTACCAGTCCACAAGGACAAGGGGGCAGAAGTAGTGACAGAAAGCTTTGTACGGGGCCTGTGAACACGGCACAGATAGCTCTCCGGGAGGCAGCTTCAGTGAGCCAGCTCAACTTTATTCCAGAGTGAGGGGAGATATAAGGGATGGGGACAGTGGCTGGGTCATCACCTAGTTTGCTTTAGACAGCACGCTCCTATCATGAGGCTCCTGGTACAAGTCTTAACTATCATGTGTGGAAGCACAGGCTGTCATAAAGCTCCTGGCTCAATGTGTAATTACCACTAAAACGTTAACAAGTTTTGAAACGAGGCTGGCTGCAGAAAGAAAGCTAAAAATATACACATGAAAATCTAGAAAACAGGAGCCAGGTGTGGTCTACTCCTTTAATCCCAGCACTTGGGAGGCAGAAAAGGCATATCTCTGTGAGTTCAAGGCCAGCCTGGTCTATATATTGAGTTCCAAGACAGCCTGTGTTATGGAGAGAGAATCCTGTCTCAAAACAACAATGACAACAAAGAAAGAAACAAACAGTTGGATGGTGGTGGTATATACCTTTAATCTCAGCACTCAGGAGGTAGGTGAATCTCCATGAGTTCTAGGCTAGCCTGGTCTACAGAATGAGTTCCAGACAGGTTCCAAAGCTACACAGAGAAACCCTGTCTTGAAAAACCAAAGGGGGAAAAAAAAGAAAGGAAAGGAAAGGATGACAGAAGAATTGACAGGTGATCAGCGCCTTAGGTATTAAAATACACCACGAAGTTATAATAAGTCATGGTTTGGCTAATCAGAAGAAGAAATAGAACTTAAATTCTAGAAATGGGCTCCATCTATAAGGAGATTTTAATACGTAAGAACTCAAATTAAGATTGAGAAAAAAGATGAACTACTTAACAAAGTGTGAAGGAGCAACTGGAAGATCTTCAGGACACAAAGTGTTAATAAAAGTAATTGAGGGTGTGGTGGCACACGACTTTAATCCCAGCACTCAAGAGACAGAGACCAGGAGATCTCTGTGAGTTTGAGGTCAGCCTGGTCTACAGAGTGAGTTCCAGGACAGCCAGGGCTACACAGAGAAACCCTGTCTCAAACAAACAAAACACACACACACACACACACACACACACACACACACACACACACACAAAAGCAAAATAAATAAATAAATAAATAAATCAAAATAATAAAATGTTATGTCTATCGTTTAAAATACTGTACATTTACAAAAAATTGAAGAAATATTTCACATATAAATATAAAATATTTTCCAGATATTTTGTTAAATAATAAAACTTTTTCAAAAAGCAGTGGTCAGCCTTGTGATTGGTAAAACGCTTCTGTGTAACGGAAGGAAAGCTGTCTATTTGAATATGCACCAGAAAACCAAAAGACTACATAGGAGACGACATCACTGTCACTTGTAGGGGTCATCGAGAGACCATCAAGTCCTGTTGTGTTTACTTTGTATGTTTTCTAATTCTTGGATCGTATAGATGTGTAATTAATTTACATGGTCACTTTTTGAAAATCCAGGTGATCATATCTACCTTTTGTGCCACCCTGAAAAGCAAATATTGCCCAAAAGGGGACAGCATATGCTGTGTATCGAAAGACAGGAGCCTCAGTTTCTCCTCCTCAAAGCAGGCGACTTGACACCTGTGTTCACCGTCACTACCTTGTCAAGGACAGAGGTAAAGCACTTGGAAGGGACTGGTGGCCACCGGCAGGGAAAGAAACCAGGTAGGATGACTTCCCTAGTTAAATACCCTAACCCATTGCTAAAACAAGCCCCTGACAGACACATTCACCCCACACCCCTTCAAGTAGGCTGAGTTTCACCTTTTCTCTTGACCTCACACCCCAGTGTATGGAAGGCGACACTACTAACTTTATATGGATGAAGCCTCTTCTGGAATTCCTCAGATTGTAAAGTCTCGCTCTTGAGTTCTTGAAAACGAGGACAGTCCCTGAAAGGCAGGTAGAGCAACTGCAGACGAAAGAAAACAACATAAGACTTTGATTAGTCAGACAAGCATTGGCAGATACTCGTTGGCAATCTTTTAAGCCTCATTAGTTAGGTCTAAAGCAGCCTTAAAATTCCCTACTGTCCTTTGAGCTGAATAGAAGTTCTAAAATTAGAAGCAGTGAGGCAAATGGTCCTTGGGTCTTAACACACTAGGGCATACCGTAGAAACTGTGATTTACCTAGCTTTCTCTCATGAGCTTGCTGCTGGGGAATATTCTCGGTTGCTCATTTTCTGTGTGGATGACTGTTACCTTGCTTTCTCCCCGGCCCCTTTCATTCTGGCACGAAGTGCACATCTGTGTGCATCCTCTCTTCCCCAGGAGTGAGGTGAAATAAATTAGAGGTTTGGGATAGAATCTTAAAGGGATCAGCTCTTCACTGACTTCATTCTAGCAAATCTGCAGACCGTCAAAATAAGGGTATGAATTAAATGCACGGATAATAGTATTTAAAATCTAGTAGGAGGACAAAACGATCATTGTGAAATCAGTGTAAGCTTCACAATCTCTCTTAGCTTTAACTGAAATGAGCAGGCTGCCAACTCACAAATTTGTCTTGAGGCTCCTTTTCACCTGGTCTGTTTTTGCAGCCCCCAATAGCACTGCTCAAAGGGCCGCTCTTTGATCCCTGATGTTCTGAAGTTTAGTGTGTATAAAGCTGAGGTCAGCTTCATCTTCAATCATTTCCTAATCATTTCCTTTTCCTAACGTCTTTCCTCCTGCCCACAATAAAGCTAAAAAGCTGCTCTGTAGGCAGTCACACTAGAGTTGGTCTACTTTCAGGCTGAATCTAACACAGACCCTTTCCTTCCTCTTCGTCGTCTCTCCTGGTCTGGACTGGTGTAATCTGTCTCAGTCACTGTCCATGCCTCCTAGCAGGTCAGTGGCTGTCCACTCCTCTGACGGTGCAGTTCATTCTCCTCACAGCAGCCTCACCATCTCTGAGGGCACCCCAAAGATCAACCGTTTTTGTAGGTCTTGACTTCCACAGACTCTTTATTTTACCTGGAGTCAAATCCAAACTTGTCTTCTAAGAGTCTATGTGAGATGAAGAGTAAATAGCAGTAAGTGCTTTACCCTCCTCGCCCCACCCCCTTCTTCCATCTCACTTTCTCCTGTACAGAAATACTGGGAACCCTCTTCCGTGAGTGCTCCACCTTAGATTCCTAAGTCACTCTGTGACTTCCTTCTTCCAAGGAACTTTTCACAATCTGAGAGCATTTTATTGGTGTTCTTTATTGTCTATAAGATAGCAATCTCAAGTAAACTAGGCTCTTCTCTGTCACACTCATGGATGTATTGTCAACAACCAGAACAAGGGTGGTGTATTAGCTGCTACTCAGAAAGCTTTTATATGGCTTCCTGTCTGTCCTTTCTGACTCTGTATGCCACCTGGTTCTACCTTTGCTTCCTCACTTTTTTATGAGCATGTAATCTCCAATCTTCATTTCTGCATCCCTGAATTACATCAGCAACATTCTCTGAGGCTCCCACATCTTCCCTTTCTGAGCGCTGTCAGGACAGTGACTCAGTCCACCCCTCATCACATGGAAGTAATGCCTAGGAATGCTGCTTTCATCTCCTCGCTTCATTCAGTGCTCTAGCTCACGACTCTGTGAGGACCTGAATCCCTGCCCTGGGCGGCCTCCTCTCTGAACTCCTTCAGTAAATGCAGCTTGTATTGAAATCACTGCCCATCATCTTGTATTGCATCACGTAGCTGATACATGTTCGATTTCTTTCATCAAACAAATCTTAAGTTAGGGATGAAGTTTGGTCTTATCGCTCAACACAGTTCTGGGAGTAACCTAGTGTTCTCAACAATTTTGTTAGACTTCTCAATTGATAAGAAAATTTTGCTTGCCTTAATGAAAAGGTAGCTGGAACCTATGGATAGATCATTTGTCTGATTCTCTCTCCATCTCCTTCGCTCTCTGTCCCTTTTTTCATCTTCCAGTGAGCTCCAGTGTCTATTGTGCAATGTGATTACCATCTGTCTGGATCACAGATTTACTAGTTTCTTTGCTTCTCTTTGGCTGTGTTTAATATTGTATTTCAGGCTTCATCTCTGTAGAAAAGGGTGTGGCAAACATACTTTTCTTTTCCTTTTGGGAAGTATTGTTCACAGACTTTTTAGAACATTGGTAATACAATGCTTCCATTTCAATCTGTGATGGTAATGCTATAAATACATCATTCTAGCTTTTCAGAAAACATCAGAAGTAGATTATACTTGAGTGGGGTTGGCGGGGGGAGGGTGTTTCTACAAAGCATTTTGAAAAACTCTACAAAGCGTGTATGAAAAATTCATACTGCCATTAAGTCAAGTTTCTATCTGTGTTGCCAGGGCAGAGAGGAGAACGGTGTATCCCAGAAGTCCCTGGGAAAAGCTTCTGGTCAATGCTAATGCGGAGTGTGAGATGTTGCTGTGATTTGGATATGTCCCCTGGAGAAGTCCCATGTTGGGAACTTGGTCTCCTGTGAGGCTATGTTGAGAGGTTGAACCTGCGAGAGAGGTGATTGATTGAGTCCCAAGTGCTCTGCCCTCGGGATGGATTAGTGGAGCTCTATGGGTGGGAGGGAGTTTGTTATGAAAGCTACCTTTCTTGGATACACTTGCTCCGCCTCACCCTCTGACATTTCCTGGCAGGTCGTGACCAGCAAGAGGACCCACTCCAGATTCTAAACAGATGTTGGTGTCATGCCTTGGACTTCAAGTCTTCCAAGTGTGAGCTGAATGAACCTCTGTATTTAAATAAATGACTCAATCTGGAATGCTCAGTTATAAAAACACAAAATGGTCAAGCTAACAATACAGGTCAGGGAAACTGAGCAATAATTCTCTGTTCCAAACTATTTTCTTCATATTACGTTACATTCTACATTAGAGGGTTAGATTTATTTATTCATATTTTCTAGACACCAGTTCCTTTGAAAAGGTTCGATTTCTTGGTAACCCACCTTGTCTGAGTTAAGTTGAATTTCTCTCAAATAGTTCTATTTATGCAACTTGGTGTATGGTGCTGCATCTCAAACTTGGCTGCTCATAAAATAATGTAGGAAAGGTATTTTAAAATCCTGATGTTGGGGCTGAAAAGATGGTGCAGCAATTAAGAGCACTTGTTCATCTATAGGACCAGGGTTTGATTCCCAGCACCCACATGGCAGCTCACAACCATCTGTGTCCAGTTCCATATCCACTCCCTCTTCTGGCTTCCAAGGGCACCTGGCACACACATGGGGCACAGACACACATGTAGGCAAAACACTCCTACATGTATAATGAAATAAAAATAATTAAAAATATACTGTTGTCCGGGCCCTACCCTCAGAGACTGACTTGAGGAATGTCCCTAGTCATCAGGCATCTTGAAACCTCTCAAGGTGGTTCTCACTGGCAGCTGAGTCTGAGAACCACCGTTTCATAGGGAAGAAGACGCGTTGAATGGGAGAGGCCCAGGACTGACTGTTGTTTACGAGCAGTGAGGCATTGGGTGAAGTTTGTTATCTTTCCTCTCTGAGTGCCTTATTTCGTTTGCCCCAGAATGTAAATTTTTAATGAGAGAGGAGTGTTTGGTGGGCAGGGAGATCTTTGGATATTTAGGGGAGATGAGAAACCTATGTTGGGCACTAAAATCATGGGGATTGAAGGCAGAACACTAGGAAATGTGTGTGTGTGTGTGTAGCCACACGTGTGTCGATGGAAGAAGGGAAATTAACAAAAGCTGAAACGATAGTTAAGCAAAATGAATCCAAATTAAAACTCAGCTCCTAGTCTTGGTTGTCTGGGTCTTTTCATGTCCTGTGTATCCAGCATACTGAATCTGTAAGTCCCTAGCAGCTGACTTCCTCCTTCTGGATTACGCAGGATACTGACCCGATCTTCAGAGAGAGACACTGTGTGCACTGGGATGGGCTGCCAGGGCAGGCTGGGATTCCAGATGCTGATCCCCTCTGGGGGAAACAGGGCCGCAAGGTTTGTCATAGCACTCATCAAAGTCCGGTCAATATCTGTGCTCCGAATATAAACCTAGAGGGGGAATAAACCAAAGCAGATGGAAAAATCAGAGGAAACTCAAAGTTTTCTTTCTGTGGAGCTGCCAGGGTGTTAGGGAAAGAGCCGAAGCACAAGATCTCAGCAGGCACTGTGGGAACATCATAATCACATCTGTCAAGGGATTGGATAGTACCGTGAAAGTACAATGGGACAAAGCAATCCATAGGCCAATAGTTGAATTGATCAATGACACTAAGCCAAAGTATTTGCACAGGTACTTATAAAAACATGAACTAAGACTATTTAGGGCAAAATAGTCCCATAAAGAGGAAAACATCAGTAAACAAGATCTCTGATGTACGTAAATTCTTCAGAAAATAGGCAAAGGTATAAGTTCTTCATATGCATGAAGAATTTTTTTTTCAGGGGTCAAGTTTCAAAGTCCTGATTCCCCAACTTGCCTGGTCATGTTTATAGGAATCGTTCAAGAATCTTCCGTATCTTCTCCTTATATAACTTCCAAGTTCATAATGCTGTTCCATGCCCCTCTATGGGGAAGAAAAGTAAAGGTTAGGGAAGGTATGTGTTACCATAGAACGTGTCTTTTCTCATTGTGCATGGCGTGAACAAAACCTCCTATCTGAACTGAGGCAGAAGAGAGCAGTCACCTTAGTCAGGATGCCCTGAGAATACTCCTTCATCTTTGTTAGCACACAATGTAGAGGCTGTGTATAGTATGTGTTTCATTGATAATTGGCAACTTATCTAGGTAAATGGCTCATCTGAGGTGGTGGGATCCCTGTGGGCAGAACATTCAAAGTGATTGGTTCATCACACCCTAGGGGTTTTTTTGCGAACAAAATCCAACTGTCTGATGAAGTTGAGCTTGCTGAATCTGAAGGTCCCTTAAAGCCTTGCAGTAAACAGACTGATTTATTATATCCACAATCTACCTATGGCTGGCTCATAAAAAAAAAATAGAGCTTGTTACTCAAAGTGTGGTCAGAGATCAGCAGGGTTGGCTTCATTTGGGAGCATGTTAGAAATCAAATTCTTGGGCCCTACTCTTGATGAATTGAGCAAGAGAAATTTTGGGAGCACTGGGCAGTAGTGGTGCAGCGCCTTTAATCCCAGCACTCGGGAGACAGAGGCAGGCGAATTTCTGTGAGTTAGAGACCAGCCTGGTGTACAAAGTGAGTAACTTTAGAAGAGGGGCTCAAAAATCTTCTTTTAAAAGGTTTATTTTATTATTTTATATGTGTGAGTATTTTTCCTGAATGTATGTCCATGCAACACATATGCCTGGTGCCCACAGAGGACATAAGAGGGCATCAGAACCCCTGGAGTTACAGATGGTTGTTAAGACATCATGTAGGTCCTGGGAATTGAATCTGAATCATCTTCGAGAACAAGTACTCTTAACCACTGAGTGATCCCTCTAGCCCCAGGAATCTGTTTTTAACCATCTCTCTTAGAAAGCCCAGGGCTCACTGAGATCAGCCTTAACTCGTGCTCCTTGAGCACTGATGCGCATTAAAACACAAGGATCCAGATGCACCTGTCGAAACTCAGATTCATCAGCTCCTTCCCCCTAAGATTCTAGCTCTCTGCATCCGAAATGTGGCCCTGGAACCTGTTTTATCAAGGACCCCCAAATGATTCAGGTGTGCCAGGCATAGAGGAGCATTGCATTGTGGTTTGTTATTAATCCAGAGCCTCACCAGAGATTTACAAGTCAGGAAGGTTGTAGTCTCTCCTCAAATATGAGGATGGTTGTTGCGAAGGAACAGCGTACCACGGCCCGAGTAGCTGAAGGTGCGGGTACTTTGGGTCCAATTATCTTCTAACTTACAGCTGAGTTTTGGAATCTGATTGCTACTTAAGAGACTTCTGCATGTGAATCCAGACCTCACGGTCCTCAAAAGTCTTTTAGTCTCACTAGAAAATCAGAGCAAGGAAGCAGGAGTCCTGCACTAAGAAAACAATATCTGAGTCTTTGTGATAGTCTCTCATTAGATAGAAAGATGGTTAGGCCATGGTTGGAAGGGCTCTGACCTTCTGAAAGCAGTAGATACTGGCTTTCCCATAGCTTCTCTGAGCTATAATGTCTACAAAACCTGATGGTTGGTTAGGGCCGTGATTCTCAGCTTTGGTTGAACATTAAAATAAAGCAATCAGTTGAGGAGCATCCAAACATCCTAATGCCCAGGCCATGCCCTATGCCAATTAAATAAGACATCATTGCTATTTTTAACACATCTCTAATAGACAATCTCCATGGAAACCTCTCACACTTAAATGCAGTCAGCAGGATAAATGCATCACAGTGGAAAATTCTGTACATATTTCTCCTTTACTCAAAAAATTAACCAAAGCTGCGGGTCGTATTTGAAATCTCTGCACTTGGGAGGAAGGAGTTTGAGGTCATTCCTGGCTATGTAGGGAGTTCAAGGCCAGCCTGTACTATATGAAACCCTGCCTCCAAAAGTATAAAGCAACAATAAAAGAGATCAAACTAACCTGGGTGAGTTGACCAAATCCTTGTGGCCATGAGGATTCCTTAATGGGGTCGTTAGGAAAGGTATCGATGGGACTTCGGTCTCCATGCCGAAACACCTAAGGAAAGGTGTGGGACAACAACGTTACAAGGTTCACTTGAGTGTCTTGCCTCTACTTGTCATAATACAATTTCTTAAACCATGGCTGCTACCATGTTTGTCCATTGGAATCACCTGGAGCATTTTAGAAAATTTTAATGATAAAGTGCCCCCTCTCCTGGGATCTTAGTTTCATTAGTTGGGCTTATGACTAAAGGGTATAAGTTTTCTAAAATTCTGTGCAAATAAAACTCAGGTGAAGAACCATCAACATTTTCTTATGCTTGAGAAAATTATACAATCAAGATGATTGGCCATTGGAAAGCTAATGATATATACATGGAGATAGAATTATGTATCTAAGATGAAAAACAGATGCATGAACATACAAGATCACTTGGTGCAGACAGACTGATTAGAAATATTCGTCTCTTAATTACTAAGAGCAACAATGCTCTTAAAATTTCATACATAATCTAAACAGTAGTTTTGTAATTACATCCTCACTTGGGAATACTTTGGCTCAGAGATTAGTTAGTCTTTGGAGGTTGGGGGCACATGAATTACAGATTGGGAGATTAGGAAAACCGAATCTCAGCACTTTAATAACACGCTTCTTAGATCTGGATACACGCCGTGCTATTCTGACTGCGCATTTATTTTTGAAGAGAGACATTTGGACTTCTGAAACCTCAGTACTTTGATTCTAAAATAATAGCATGCCAGACCAAACTCAGTACTATTTTATAATCAAAACATAAAAAAAGAAACCTACTCAAGAAGGACAAGATGAGGTCTTACATAGATGCAGAAAATATTTAATAACATACAGGATAGTTGTCCAACACTTCATTTGATCTGAGCTCACTTTTGCTTGTCACTTGAATTACCTACTGAGAGACCCCACTGTAAGTAGGCAAGGATGCTGTATTTCTAAACACCTACAGCACAGTTCAGTAGACAACAAGGAAGGAACAGCCACAAACTTGAGTTATCTTCAGGAAGGAATTCTAGAATATCAAGAAAGGCTTCTAAGATCAATGCTATGACTCTGGTATCCGAATAAAGTGATTCTTTGTTGCCCAGAGGGGAACAGGGCAGAGGGTGGTAAGAGGCCCTCTTGGGGGAAGGTAAGGAAATAGAGCTTGAAGTTTTCCTTTCCCAGGAAAAACAGCCCCTGGTGCCAGTCTGTGGGAGTGACTTGGCCATAAATGGGAACCACCAATATTAGCCATTTAGTGACTCTGTTTCCACAACCAGGTGCATCTGAGACTGCTTGGATCTGCAATCACCATGCAGCAAACCTTCCCAGATCTGAGGAACAAAAGTTGTGACACACTTTCCCAGGTTACTAGCCTCACATTGATTTCTCAGGGTTTTCCAATCTTAGCACTATACATTTTCAGAGGTAGATAACTCTCCACTGTAGGAAGCTGCCTTGTGTACTGTTTAGTAGGCCCTTGGCCTTTTGTATTTCCTTGCTATGACAATTGCAAAGACCAAACGCCTCACCACTGAGTTAGTCAAAGAGAAATCCGATAATAAGCATTCTACCAAAACAATGAACAACCAACCCTTCCTACCAGGGCACAACCCTTCCTCCCAGCACCCAACTACAACAATCCTTTATGCTTTTTCCACTCTTGCTCTGCCTTGAGGAGTTGCTAAGTGCTTTTTGTGTCTAATTCTCTTGACCAGTTCTGCAACATAGTCATTATTATGATATATACTTCACAGCTCATCTTAGTCAAGTAATGAGCCCAAATCCTCAAGCAGGTAAGTAGAACTAACCAGACATTGGCTATGTATCTTTCACTAAAGTGTCTTCCTTTGGATCTCTCTCTCTCTCTCTCTCTCTCTCTCTCTCTCTCTCTCTTTCTGTGTGTGTGTGTAGTGTGTATGTGTAGATTGAACCCAGGGCTTTGAGCATGTTCTCTCCCATTGAGTTACACCTCCAGTCTTCAACACTAGTATTCTTAACCGCTCACTAGTGACAGTTTCACTAGTGATAGCTTCATTTCTTCAAGTCCACTCCTTATTTCCCCTCCCCCTGCTGTGGGACAATGGTTTGTACCCTGTCAATTGTATTTTAATAAAACGCTGATTGGCCAGTAGCCAGGCAGGAAGTATAGGTGAGACAACCAGGCAGGAAGTAGAGGCAGGGCAACAAGAACAGGAGAATTCTGGAAAGAGGAAAGCTTGGTCCGCAGTCGTGACCTAGCCACAGAAGAAGTGAGATGTAACTGCCTCGCTGAATAAGGCACCGAGCCACGTGGCTAGCATAGACAAGAATAATGGGCTAATATACGTTATAAGAGTTAATAAGAAACCTGAGCTAATGGGCCAATCAGTTTATTACTAATGTAGATCTCTGCGTGATTTCTTTGGGACTTGACGATTGCGAGAACCGGGAAGGACAGAAACCCCGACAACATCCTCCAAGAAGTCAGTATGGTCTGATAACCTGGAGATTTTCTTTTCAATATACTGTTCTATAAGACTGGAATGTGTGTGTGTGTGTGTTGCACAAGAAGAACCCAAAAGCCTTCTTATAAAAAACTGTCTCCAAGGCACCATAATCTATATGTAGTATTAAATAATAAAACTGAGACATACAAGTGTGACTTCCTTAGCAGAACACTGCCCTGCAGGTTGGGAATTACCTGTAATCCCAGCACCCAGGAATTGAGATAAGAGGCTAGCTTTAGTTACACGAGACCCTGTCCCAACACACACACACACACACACACACACACACACACACACATACACACACACACACACACACACACACCCCTAAACACAGTGGTGCACATCTTTAATCTCAGCATGCAGGAGGCAGAGGCAGGTGGATTTCTGGAGTTCAAGGCCAGTATGGTCTACATAGTGAGTTCCAGGCAGCCAGGGCTATGTAGTGAGACCTTGTCTCAAATAGCAAACAAATAAGCCCCAAACAGACAACAAAGAAAACAAACAACTCCCCCAGAAGACCCAAAGCAACATCAAAATAGCCAAATGTAGTGCTGAATACTACAGAGTGAGTTGGAGGTCAGCCTAGGATATACTATGAGACCTTGTTCAAATAAACAAAACAACACACATGCACTCATGCACGCACACACACAAAATCAAGCAATAAATAAATTTAATAAAGAACAGAGCACTGGGGTTAACCCTGAGTACACCCAGGGATAATTGTATTCTCATATGATGCAGTAGGTTTTAAATGTTCCTAAGTTAATGACTGAAACATACTGTGAGCTCTGTAGAAAGTGTTCCATAGAAGCACTAAGTATTCCTGTTCCAGTAAGGACCTGCAGGTTGAGATTTCCCTCTACCCCTATGTGTGTATGTATTTCTGTGTGTGTGTATGTGTGTCTGTGTCTGTGTCTACATGCATGCATGTGGCTGTCCTGTCCCCATGTGTGCGTGGACCCATGTGTCCATGCCTATGTGTAACAGAGGCTTTCTTTAAACTCAGAGCTTCCCATCTCAGCCCTTGGACTGTGTTTAGGGATTCTTAAGTCTACAGTGGTCCAGTCTCCCAATTCCACTACATTATTGCTTTTACTCAGTCAGAATTACTCAGAATTACTACAGAATTACTCAGTCAAGTAATTCTATTCTATCAAAACCTTTAAAAAACTAAAAAATACATTATTAGCGGTCAGGAGTTTCCACAGAACTAATGATGATTGCAACAGGAAGAGACCTGAGACCACGAGAGCGCTCAATCTCACACTCCTCTATGCTTTACAGAACCCTCTGCTATCTCTTGTGATTCTTTTAGAAGGGGTCTCTCTCTGCATACCCTGATCTAATCCAGGCTGGTTTGAATTTGCCGTGGTTCTCCTGCTTCAGCCTCCCAAGCAGTGGGACTGCAGGCATGACCCACCCACCTGGATTTCCTGGCCACTCTTACTGCTAGTCCTTCCTAGCCATGAGCATGGGGGATGTTTATCTTCTGATAGCTTAAATTTCTTTCTTCAAGGACTTGAAGTTTTCACCATACTAGTCTCTCACTTGCTCGGCTAGAGTTACACCGAAGATATTTTATATTATTTGTGACTCTTGTGAAAGGTGTCATTTCTCTGACTTCTTTCTCAGCCCATTTATCATTTGTATATGGGAGGGCTACTGATTTTTTTTTTTTTTGAGTTAATCTTGTACACAGCCACTTCACTGAAGATGTTTATCAGCTTTAGGAGTTCCCTGGTAGAAATTTTTGGGTCAATTAATTAATAAATACTATCATATGATCTGCAAATAATGATACTTTTTTTTTAAGTAAGGAATTCCTACAAGCCTACTGCCGGCTCCTATGATCAGTCTGTATATAGTTAGTATTTAACTTGCAACCTTATCACTCTTAGAAATATCATATTTTATTGCTCTTTGCAAAAAATTCCAAGTCCTTATAAGAGCTCTTCCCCACCTGCTAAACCCTACCTGATCAGGTCCCTCCTTCTTCTCAACATCCTCAGTTTATTGTCCTGCTAAATGGACTTAGCCACAGGAGCCCTCCTGCTGGCCCAACCCCAGTGCCTTTCCCCAGTGTGACTTTATCTGCTTTGAATGCCCAGTGCTTGCTGCTTCTCCTGACTCTCTCTCAGTGGGGAAACATGAAAGTAGCCCTTGCATAACTTCAACCTTTTCTTACTGTTTTGTTTCTATCTCTAATATTTGCTGGTTTGTTTTTTAGAGATTAAAAAAATAATTACCTAGTTCCTTCTCTTTCATACTAGTTGGTTTTTGCATTGCTGTGACAAAATACTTGACAATAACACTTAAGAAAAAGAAGGAAGGCTTTTACTCTGGCTCTGGGTTTGGATATGATCTGTTATGGTGAGGAGGGCATGGTATTGGGAGTGCGAAACAGATAGTCACATTGCATATGTAGTCAAGAAGCATAGCCAGGGAGGGGAATTCTGGGGGTCAGTCAGATTTCTCTTGTTTAAAACGCTCCATTTTATCCAGTCTAGGACCTGGGCCCTAGGATGGACTTGCAGGCATTCAGAG